GAGTCTTAAAGAGTCTTGATGGCCAGGGACTCGCAGAGTTGAGGGCTCTACAAAAACCAGACAATGAAATTGAAGATTTGTTAGCCGCCATCATCATCATTGGTATGTTTGATGATCCCAGTCATTCCATTTTATGATAAGAAACACCTTTGGAACCGATAGTGTTCGTCTAACATCAAAAAAAGGCATGCAGCTTTAGGCCATATGTTGTGCTTAAGACTAACTTCTAGTTGTCTCGCGTTCCACAGTGGGATCCTAGTTGTTGCCTCCGACGTATGTGGGCTACAACTTCACTGGTCCCTTTTTATTTAGTGGCGTTTTTAAAAGGATGTTATTTCCGGAATTTGTTAAGGCACCATCCTGGTAGAACGGAATACGTAAATTCTTGTTCTTTATTTGTTTTTACCATATACCTTAACGGGAATTTTGTGTTATGATGACACTCTTTGCAAGTTGTCCATTTCTGTTGTTTTTTGCAGTGAAGTCGCCCTCTTCTGATTTGACCTGGAACAAGGGAGCTAAACGTCTGATGGCAAATTTAGATAGGTAAAACAGTGAAGTTTTATAGCTTGATCAAACGTCTCTTATACAGCCATTAAAAGGACATTTCCTGACAAGTACATGCATGTATAGCATAGGGCAAACTTGTGGCGCTGTTTCAAATCGCCCTGGGGTAAATGCAAGGAAATAATCGCTTGAGAGGATAAGTTTTTTCTTTCTTTAAGTACCGTGTTGCACGAAATTTTTGCTAGAGTTTATTTTTGCGGATTGGCGATTTTTGGTGTTTTGCGGGAACTAATTTTTGCGATTAGAACAGATTGGTTTTACTGGCGGGGAATTAATTTTTGCGATTTTCAGAAAGTACCCAGTGCCCAGCATTGTATTATTTTCGTCTTTATTGAGTGGCGTCCAATAGAAAAACATATTTTCAAGCAATAAGACAGTATTTCGTTGTTTCTGAGTGAAAGAGACAAGTTGTGATTGAACAGACACGATTTCTTGATACTGTATTTTTGTGTAGCGAATTTAACTTAGAGAATATTTACTCTGGAGTAAATTTTCGCAGGAAAAATGTTTGGGGTAATTTTTATTTGCGGGAACTTATTTTTGAGGATCACAAGAAAACCGAAAAAGCGCAAAAATTAGAACCCGCAAAAATGTCGTGCCACAGGGTACTTTACAGTTATCAAATTTTGTAACTTTCCGTATAGACTCCATCAAAAGGAGAAACAAATGGGGAAGAAAACAAAAATGAGACTTGAAATGTAAACATATTACATGAGAGATGAGAATTTGAGTGTTAGTTCCTTATGAGTTAATCATATTTTCCTCTTGACAGATTCCGTGAGGAGCTTGGAGTATTTGACGAAATGGAGCTGTCTGAGAGCACCCTGGAAGTGGTGGAGCCCTATCTTAAGAAGCCCCATTTCGGTGGAGATTACCTAGAGAAGAAAACAAACAACCCCGCCGTCGGATCCTTGCTACTGTGGGTCAAAGGTGTGGTTAGGTAAGACGAAACGTTAAACATCTTAGAGCAGTGCCTACCCAAAGGCCCTTTGGCCGATTCCTTATGCATGCGCACAACTATATTAAAAAACCTAAGCAAACATTCTTTTGACTCATCACGTGACAAGACAATAGGGTGCTGACAAAACCACGACGTCGATAGCATAGCATACTAACAAAGTGAAGTCGCATTCTTTCCAAGTGCTTCGCGATAACACCAACGCGTGCAATTTGTCGAATATAAACGACCTTTCCCGGTTAATTGCTCAGGGATAGGATACCATTTGCAGATATGGCCATGAGCGAACGCTTATAGAATGCACTTTCCTTATGAAACTTACCACCAATTCTCTTCGTGAATAAAAGTTCACCAGAATACCAATATATGGATATGGTCAACCTCGCTGTTGATCCCCATAATTTTAACTTACAACCAGGAATCTTACCACCGGGAGTCTTACAACCATAGGTCTTACGACAAGGGATCTTACAACCGGGGTTCTAACGACCAGGGGTCTTACGACAAGGGGTCTTACAACCAGGGGTTTTACCAACACGAGTCCTACAACCAGTGACCTTACGACCAGGGGTCTTAAACTACAGGTCTTAAAACCAGGGGTCTTGCGACCGGCGGACTTACAAAAAGTGGTCTTACAACCAGGGGTATTACAACCAGGGCCGAGTTGTTCAAAGCTGAATTAAGATAACCCGGGGTTAGTACGAGATTTGTATTTAGATTTGAAAACTTTAAAAGCATTTCATTTTTAATTCTTTTTGTCTACAAGTTGATGATTGGAACCGCTAAACATAGCAGAGAAAATTATCCCAGAAAATTCTTTTCAACACAAGAAAATAAAACCCGGGTTAAATTTAACCCCGGGTTAAGCGTTAATCGACCTTCGAACAACTGGGCCCAGGGGTCTAAAGACCAGGGGTATTACAACCAGGGGTTTTACGACCAGTGCCTTTACGACCAGAAGTCTTACGACCAGGGGTCCTATAAACAGGCGTCTTACAACCTGGTGTTTTACAACCAGGCGTCTTACAACCAGGGGTCTTACAACCAGGTATTTTACAACCAGGCGTCTTACAACCAGGGTTCTTACAACAAGGGGGTTTAACAACCAGGTATCTTACAACCAGGGGTTTTACAACCAAGGGTCTTACAATAAGGGGTCTTAATACCAGGGGTTTTACAACCAGGGGTCTTACAACCAGGGGTGTTACAACAACGCGTCTTACAACCAGGAGTTTTACAACCCTGGGTCTTACAATCAGGGGTTTTACAACCAGGCGTCTTACAACCAGGAGTTTTACAATCCTGGGTCTTACAACCAGGGGTCTTACGACCAAGGGTCTTACAAGCATGGGTCTTACAACAAGGGGTCGTACAACCAGGGGTCTTACAACCAGAGGTTTTACAACCAGGGGTCTTACTACCAGGCGTCTTACAACCAGGGGTCCTACGTCGAGGGATTTTACAAGCCTGGGTCTTACAACTAGGGGTCTTACGACAAGGGGTCTTACAACCAGGGGTCGTACGACCAGGAGTCTTGCGATCAGAAGTCTTACAACTAGGGGTTTAATAACCAGGTGTCTTACAACCAGGGGTCTTACAGCCATGGGTCTTACAACCAAAGGTCTTACAACCAGGGGTTTTACAACCAGGGGTCTTACAACCAGGGGTTTTACAACCAGGTGTCTTACAACCAGGGGTCTTACAACCAGGGGTTTTACAACCAGGAGTTTTACAATCAGGAGTTTTACAACCCTGGGTCTTACAACCAGGGGTCTTACAACCATGGGTCTTACAACCAGGGGTCGTACGACCAGGGTTCTTACAACCAAGGGTCTTACCACCAGAGCTTTTACAACCAGGGGTTTTACAAGCAGGCGTCTTACAACCAGGGGTCTTACATCCTTGGGTTGTACAACCCTGGGTGTTACAACTAGGGGTCTTACGACCAGGGGTCTTACAACCATGGGTCTTACAACCAGGGGTCGTACGACCTGGAGTCTTATGACCAAGGGTCTGACAACGAGGGTTTTTACAACCAGGGGTCTTACGACCAGGCGTCTTACAACCAGGGGTTTTACAACGAGTGCTCTTACAACCAGGGGTCTTACAACCAGGGGTCCTACAGCCAGGGGTTTTACAACCAGGCGTCTTACAACCAGGAATTTTACAACCAGGTGTCTTACAACCTGGGCTCTTATAACCAGTCGTCTTACAACCAGGGGTTTTACAACGAGGGCTCTTACAACCAGGGGTCTTACAAACAGGTGTCTTACAACCAGGGGTCTTACAACCATTGGTTTTACAACCCTGGGTCTTACAACCAGGGGTTTTACAACCAGGCGTCTTACAACCAGGGGTCTTACAACCAGGAGTTTTTCAACCCTGGGTCTTACAACCAGGGCCCAGTTGTTCGAAGGCCGATTAGTGCTTAACCCAGGGTCAAATTTAACCCGGGTTTCCTTTTCTTGTGTTCAAAAGCATTTTCTTGGATAATTTTGTCTCTTATTTTAAGAGCTTCCAATCATCAACTTGTAGACAAGAAGAAATAAAACTGAAATGCTTTTTAAGGTTTCAAATCTTAATTCAAATCTCGCACTAACCCTGGGTTATTTTAACCCAGCTTTGAACAACTCGGCCCTGGAGTCTTACGACCAGGGGTCTTACAAGCAGTTGTTTTACAACAAGGTGTTTTACAACCAGCGGTCGTACAACTAGGAGTCTTACAACCAGGGGTTTTTCAACAAGGGGTTTTACAACCAGGGGTTTTACAAACAGGGGTCTTACAACCAGGGGTCTTACCACAACGCGTCTTACAAGCAGGAGTTTTACGACCCTGGGTCTTACAACCAGGAGTTTTACAACCCTGGGTCTTACAACCAGGAGTTTTACAACCCTGGGTCTTACAACCAGGGATTATACCACCCGGCGTCTTACAACCAGGAGTTTTACCACCAGGCGTCTTACAACCAGGAGTTTTACAAGCCTGGGTCTTACAACCAAGGGTCTCAAGACCAGGAATCTTACGTCGAGGGGTCTTACATCCAAGGGTCATTCGACCAGGGTTCCTACGACAAGGGTCTTACAACTAGGGGTATAACAATTAGGGGTCTTACGGGAAGGGGTCTTGAGACTGGGTTTCCTACAACCATGTTCTTTCCACCAGGGGTTTTTCGACCAGGGGTAGTACAAGCAGGGATCTTACAACCCGGAAGAAGAAACTCTGGTGGCTGCTTTGAACCTAAGAATTTTCTCTTCACCTTTGTTTTCTCCCTCTTCGCTTGATCTAAAATGTATTATCTCCTAGTAATTGTCAAATTAGTTGGTGCGGGAAAAACATGGAGCGCGTCTTTAAGACTGATTTTCTGTTCTTTTGTTAAGGTACCATCGCATGATGCAGTCGAAGGTGAAACCTCTGCACACTAAAGTCTCAGAAACATCTTCAGCTGTAGAACACGCCGTGTCTAAATTGTCATCCATGGAGAGCAAACTTACAGACCTGGAAGAACGTCTGAAATCATTGGCTTTAGCATACGAAGAAGCTTCAATTGATAAGTGTCGTCAATACGAGCTGACGGAGACTTTGGACTCACAGCTGTCTCAGGCTGCGTACTTTGAAGAGGTGAGATGTAGGCGAGTTTTTCTTTTTGTCAGTGTTTTTCATATGTCAGCGTTCTAAGCGTATGTATCTTTGTGGTTTTGTGGCTTTTGCTGTTCGGAAATGTGTTGCAGGGTTAATAAGGCTGACGGTACCATGAGTTGATGCTTGGGAACCAATGAAATTTTGGTATCTAAAGGAGCGTGACATTGCTAAAGGTCAAACAAGGGCATTTTGAGACCGCAATATCGATTCTTCACAATTTGCTCGTCTTTTATTACAGCTACATGTGTTTGGAAGCGTTACATTTAAATATCTTCATGATTCAAACGTTTTGAACAGTGATGCAGCTGTTTAAGGTTTCACGTTTTAGTGTGGGTGCTGCTTCAAGCCATTTCTGACCTAATTCGGCTTTCGCGCAGTCGCAAACGGTGTAACGCACGTATTTCATAGTTTATGAAGTCTGTTTTACCTGCTTCAAGGTAGGGTATAAAAGATCTTATATTCTTCAAAGTTCTTCCATTGAAACAATAACTGATATTTAGATATGGACTTTAATTCGAAAGTATACGGCCTATAAATTGTGGTTTTAGAAGTTTGAAAGGCAGCGTATTTTTTTAAAGCTTTACCGAGGGAGTTAATCCTGTCATAAACAAGCTTTATTCTATCTCGCTTACAAAGATCTCATCAACAGACCTTTTTCGCTCCGGCAAAAAAAACGTGAATTAAGTGAACAACATGATACATGCTTGCTGCTTAAGAGTAATTATTGTCATTGAAACGTATTTTATTTAGTAAAGATGGATAGGTAAAGTAGAAACAATAGCGTTAAGGAATAAAATTGGAAGAAACTAGGTGACAAAGTAATTAGATTTAACAATTAATGAATGAGGCTGAGTATCTTATGAAGAATTATGGAGATCTCGGAGGATGTTATCCGCCTCGGCCTACGGCCTCGACGGATAACACCCTCCTCGATCTCCATATTCTTCATATGATACGAAAGCCGAATTCAACAATTGTTTTATTATTCATGCAAAATAATTCCTAGTTTAAAAACATGGCTAAAACATGCTTACCTTTATCGATCCATCGATGTTAAGTTCATCTTCGATAGTGCACGTTTAGGTTTGTCAAGCCCCGCAAATATTCTCCAAATAGCAGATGCCGCCCTTCGAGTTGTCTTCTTGGTGTTCTTGCCATGTTTTTAGCTATTTTTTGGCCTAGTTCTTACTCTTGAAACGAGTGAAATGTCCACTATTTTTTGTTTTCACAACCAAAACAACTCAACCTCGTCCCAGGTCTTCTCGGTTAACGGTGCCTTAACCTGCACGAACGCTGCATTTTTGACGTCATTTCCTTGTTAAACACAAAAGTCTTCCAAATTTGGACATCAGAAACTGGTTATGGTGAATTATGCGGGTGCTTTTAGCCAATCAGAATCTGGGAAATATTTTGAATGAATAATAATTGTGTTTTTTTCAGTGGAATAACATGATATGAGTAGAAATATATTTCGGCAGTTTGATGATGTTTTTGCAAGGAAATAAATGCTAGGCTAGTAAGTTTGACGTTGCATGAAGCATTATTTAATTGCACGCGTTGTAAAGCCGAGGTGATTTCTTAAAATCGTTTGAGTAAGTTTTTAGTAAGCAATTTGCGTTCCTTTACGTACGAATTGTAAATGGAACAAAGTCCAACACTTCACGTGCAAATTGTGCGCATGAATTATTTTTATTAGTCGGCTTACTGATTCGACTTCCACCGCTGGAAACTTTTTTTTTCTCCTTTTTTTTGGTCGTTTTGTTTTGTTTTGCTTTTTATTTTTTTTTTGTTAAACATATTTTCATTTTTTGACAGACTTAAGATATACCAGTAGACTAATTGCAGGTTCATTATCAGCTGTCATTTGTAAAATAATTAATAATCCGCAAGTTAGCCTTAAGCACCCTTTGATTGATGCAGGTACTGTCAAGTGGTCGCCAGAAGTGGCTGAAGCTGCTGGAATCCATCAGCACCCGGGAGGAAGCAGTGGCAGGTGGGGTTGCCATGGCTGCAGCATTTGCCACGTACTTAGGCCCCTACCCGTTCACGTTTCGTCGTGAGATGCTGACAGTGCACTGGCCACTGTGTTTGGATGAACGTGGTGTTATGTTGGTAGTGGATAGCTCCACGCCGCATGCAGGTGCTGAGGTGTTTATAATGGAAAC